ACAGACACCTTGGAAAATCCCTCGGAGGATGTGTCTAGTATCTGTGTGGACGGATTGTTTTCCATTAGAGAGATACAGTTTTGTATTCCATCGACTCATCGCGGTTTTCAGGAAGTTTTTGATAAACGGGTGGACCTTGTATACATCCAAATATTGAAGGAGCCAAGAATGGGGCACGGTGTCGAATGCTTTAGCATAATCTATGTAACATGCGTACAAGTTTCTTTGTTTTTCACTTGTCCCATAATTAGTATATAATGAGTTGCTCTTTGCATCCCTGAAATCCAGCTCTCCATCCAAGACATCATATTAACTCGTCATACACGATTGTAAGAGAATATGTGACTCACGTATTATTATTATTATTATTATTATTATTATTATTATTATTATTATTATTATTATTAAATATTGTTTCATGAGCTTTGCTGGTTTACACAATTTCCATATTGAATTGAATCTTGTAGAGTACTGATGAACTTAATAATTTTTTCTTACAAAGCAATCCAAATATTTCGGTAATAGTTTCTTTTCTAATCTATAAATAAATGTTAGTACATCTCTTTACTCTTCCTTTTCAACTAATAAATATCTTAATTTTTTAACATATTGCTAACATTTTCATTACGCCTTTTATTCAAAACAGCTCTCACTCCTTTGTTGTAGTCCATTTGTTTCTTTTCAATTTCCTTTTAATTCACCATAGTAAGAATAGTTGAAGAGTAACGCACATGGGGCATCAAAATTGGTTTAAATAATAATTCCTTTCCTGGTCTTGAAATAACTTTCCTCAATTTATATAATAAATTAACTGTCTTAGCTATTTTGCTGTTAATGTATTGAACATGATCTTTAAAACTTCGATTTTTATCTATAATCACCCGAAGGTATTTGTATGTCCTAACTCATTTCAAATTTTCACTGTTAAGCACAATTGATTGTCTTGATTCTACGTCTTCCCTAAATTTATCTTGCCCCATAACCATACACTTTGTTTTACCAACATTAACACTCAAAAAATCCATGATCAAACATTGACTAACCAAGTTAATTTTCTATTTACTCTATTTTTCACATATTTTACATTATTACCATATGGATAAATCACTGTGTCATCTGATCCATCATTCCGATAACTTTTTGAACGCCCCTCGTATTTTTGAAATATATCAAGCCCAAAGGATGTATTTTGTAACACAATTTTTCTCATGATTTTCTTATAAATTGATATTCCGATAAAGGTTATATGTTGCATGTTATCAACTACAGAAAGGAGATAAAGCAGGTCTCTCGAATAGATAATTCATAGCAGGGTGTATTGTCTAGGTGTTTGTAATTAAGTGGTATTAATAGGCTTCTTGTTTAAACTTTGATTCATAATTCAGCTATGTCTATTGCGAGATACAGGTCCTCATGTCGACCTGTGACTTCGAATTACCGCGTGAACCGTGTTCTTTTCATAAAATGCACCTTTTGGAAGGCAGATATCTATGTTCCCGCTGTCGTCTAGTTGCTGCTAGAAAAGGATTCTTAAATGCGCGCCATCATCAGGTCAAATAAAGAGTCGTCAGCTCGCTGAAGACCTGGCCACGTACCGAGAGCCACCCCGTCACGCGCTTATGCTTACGTGTCGCCCGGGAGAAAATGTATCCTTTTACGCGCAAATTCGTACGCTATCCGGCGCCTCAAAGTTTCATCATCTTTATAAATCGCGCCCAGTCCCATCGGGCCCGTCCCTCGAATTACGCTTCGTGGAGACCTATGCGCACAAAAGCAATCTTAGCCCACTTCGGAGACAGGCATGTACAGGAAACGAAGAAAGTACGCGGCAAACTGCCAATCAAACGCACGAAATCGGTGAAGAGTTCTAGAAGCTAGGCCACATGAAACGTCGGCAGCGAATCCGGAGATGAGGCGTTGACGCGAGTCGCGCGTTGCGGAATCGCTACAATTGTATTAGGAGAGAGGCAAAATTAATAAAGGAACGAGACTGCGCGGGAAAGCAGGCTTACGAGGTGGAAGTTCGTCGCTGAGAGCAGCAGACAACTGCTACATCGTGCAGGAGAGACCCACCAGTTCGAGTGAAGCAGACACATTCTTCATTTTGAGGAGAGTAGGTGAAATTGTCGTAGAGCATAAGAGAATTTGAATAAACGAGACTGCAGAGACTGTGATATTCATCTCACTAATTCAACTTGACTGGCAAAGTTTCTCCGCCGACTGATTCCCTCGATTCGAACAGTTGTGATTGACTGCAACGCATTACAGTGACCGATACATTCAAAGTTTGATAATACATCACGCCTGAGACAACGTGGTTGCGACCATTACGTCACCATCACGCCACCTTCGGCACCGACACCGACAAACCATCAGATCGTCCCTTCACGGCCAAGACAGCTCGCTGGTCTAGAGGGTTGGTATTGAATAGTGATGCGATATCGGCAACATAACATCGATGTTGCCAAATACCAATTGGCAACTTTGCTCCCACGTGCAAGAAGTGTCAAACAACTCCGACACCCGCGCAAGAAGTGTCAATCACTACTGTCAGACCTTGTCGAACACCAACTGTCAAACTTCTCGGACAAGTACAACTGCTCAACTACTAGCAGAGCTAGCGGACGGACAGACGCAAATGCAACTAACGAATAACGAACATTACCAAACTTAGACATCAGCCTACAACTGTTCTCTACTAAGTCGTAACCAACTATTGCTGTCATCTGTCAACAACTACGGACGAGTGTATCCTCGCTCCACTACGCAGACAGCCCGCTAACGATTCGGTTGCTCCTCATTTGCCTACTATTTTGTCATCAACCAACCAGAGCGGCAAACGAGCCTAGATTCACACAGTTCGTGCTCAGCTCTTGCCCGGGTAACACCTCAAAGCGCTCTGCGCGATAAGCCGTCGCAATTAGTGTAGTGACAGTCTTTAGATAATGTGCAACAAGGCTAAGTGGCGTAGTATTCGCAGCTTTTACTATTATTATCATTTATCAACGTTTCATTCAAATAAGCGATAGCTTTTCTTCATTTTACATAGATAATGTAAAATGAAGCCGACCAATCCACGGGGTTTGTAGTATCGCAGGCCCTATTAACACTACACAATGTAGACATCAGTCGTTTCTCCAGCAGTCCAGTGCATCAAGTACAAGAGTTAATAACCAGTCTACAGACGGACACAAGTGGTCAGACATCTCAAAACCCGCTCCCCGCTGAAGGCAGCATGGATCCGGGCATCACAGTTGATTCGCTGCACAACGAGCAGTCGTCATCAGCATCAGCATCGTCATCAGGAAATCTTTCACGGAAAAGGTCAGACAGTGATATTATTGATCCTCACGAACATAAAAAGAAAAGTCATGAAAAGTAAATCTGATAATCCGTTAGATCCCAGTTTATATAACAGCAAACTTGACAACCGATTTGGTGTATTGAGTGATGATGTACCTATACCAGTGAAGGAATGAATCTATTTCAAGTTTGCGAAGAATTCTGCAATAGATTATCTGATTAATATTTTGATAAAAAATGATGCTGAGCCACAATAACGTTATTTTCTTGTGCTAAATGTTTGATCGATTCATCGTATGTTTGTTCTTTTGGTGCTGACAATGCTAATATCATGTTGAAATATTTTGCACCGATAGAATTTAAAAGTAACTTTGCACAGTAATATTTGTTATTTATTACATTCATTTCTAAATAATTTTCGAAACGATTCTCTTGTTGGATCGAAATATTCAAAATGTGGCAAGAGCAGTATTTACCGATATTTCTTGATTGGTTCTCACTGGTTGATTGGAAGTGTTTATTTCTAATATTTTCTCGAGCATTCGCTGTTGAAATTTTTATAAATTCAGAAAATTGTGTCGCATCCATTGTGCTGTCTGTTGTTGAATTAAGTTGACTTTATTACCTTCAAGCAGTGATGCGAGCTACTCGATCCTCCTACGATCATCAATTGTTGACAATGTAACATATTAAAAATTGCTCGAAATAAAAAAAATATTGAAATGTCAGCTCTCGAAATATTATGTGATTGTTACCTGGGACCCTGTGCACGCTTATGGAGTTGACGTTCAGTTCTTGTCGCCCTCTTTAGTGTAGATATTTCCTTAGATTATCCTGGTCGGATTGAATTTATGTTTTAAATTTCATTTTTTTCTTCACCTCGTCGCCAATTTGTTGTACCCTTGATTGTTATTGGATTGCCAAAGGTATAGAAAAACACTGCACCATCCGATTCATTTCATGTTTATATTTGAACTAAAATTAAACTGTACAAGTTGCGTCAGGTAGGAAAACAAACTAGCATCACCGATATAATGAAGTGGAATCGAGGCTCAGCTCCGAGATGGCGCCACTGTGCACCAATGAATATGAAGAGATTATGCCAATGCATGCATGTACTTTTTTTTTGACGTCCGCCTGTCCGTGGTTACTACTAGCGTGTAAACTGGTGTAAACCATGCATAGGATTTTTTCCACACTGAAGAAGTCCCTGTGGATCTTGCTTGAGTCAAAGCTTTGAGATTTTGAAAACCATTCTTTAAAATTTGGGGGTACTATACATTTTTAAATTGTCTCAAAAACGGTTCCAAATTTTTTCTTTACCGTTCTTGTAAAAATAGGGTAGAATACACTTATAAAGGTGTCACCGGTCCGATTTTCTGGGTTAATTGTGATACTTCGAAAATTTCCAAATTTTTCAATTTTTCTAACAACTACAAAATTGAAGACAGAGTTATCCTTTAAATACAATTTGTTCTCCATTTTGAATTTTTTTCATTAAGGCTAAGCATATTTTGTTGACAATTTTACTACTTTTCGTGAAATACGCGTACAATTTTAAAGAATAACAAAAACAATATTTTCTAAAAAAACGGCTCCCAATTTGTTTAAACTTTTCGTAGTGATAGTACAAAATGCACTCTATAAGATGACATAAAAGCCTTTTGCTCTATTCATTTTTTTCAAAAATGTAATTTTATTGACTTGTATCTCACACCAATAACATTTACATTAGCTGCGATTTGTTCACATTATTTTTTATAAGAACATGGGATTTAAATAATGTTACATACAGTTCCTCGACAACTCAACCGTTTTCTATGAAAATGGCCCAAAATTAATTTTCAGGGATGCTCAAACACCATTTTCTCAAAAATTACAATAAGTTCTTTCTTGAAACTTTTCAAACACACAGTGATAATTGCACCTTTTAATATAACAATGTGAATTTAAGGGAATCTTTCAAAAATTACCCAAATTTAATTTTTTTTAATGATCTCTCATGCAGTAAATATGTGCAATTTCAGCACTATTGAGTTTACGTGCTTCTAATGAAGTCTTTCGAAAACTCAAAAATTTTCTGGGAAAAGAGCTTTAAATTTCTCATTTATAGTAGCACTAAAACATCATTTTATTAATCGTGGCTCCAAATTTTTCAAAGGAAATTGCCATTTATGACAGGGTTTTACTGTTCTTTAATATTCTTAAAATAATTCTTCTGTTCTACAATTAAGAAATCGAACAAGTAAGAAAATTTCAAAAGAATGTACTTTGGGCAGCGATAGATGGCAGCTGGCAAGAGTATGTATCAAGTCCAAATAGCTAACCAAGACCAAAAAAGTAGAAAACTAATATCGGAAAGTCTGTGCCATTCTGAAGCAGCCCTAGTTCACTTTCGTACGTTTCGCTTATTCTGTGATTTTGAAATTTCATTCCCTGCCTGAAATACTTCATCGACAATTGTCTTAAGGACAGTAATATCTTTAAGGTGTTGCATGTTTTCTACTTAGAAACAAGCAATGGAGGTACATTTGTACCCCACTTGGTATTTTGCAACATCAATTTTTATTCTTTATTAATTATTAGAAATAGAGATAGAAAGAGTAGAACCAGATGCAGTGTTTTATCATTTACATGTAATGAACTTTAAGATACAAAAACAATAAAAATATGCATCAGTTACCTAAAACACAAATAATCATGAAAGAAGTATTTTGATGAAGTGTATTGATGTAATAAAAGAGAAACATAGGAATAAAGTTACTTCATTGTATTAAATTTATTATTCATTATATATTAACTGTTCAAAATTATTTGAACCGTTTGAAAGAATCCTATTCCTTTTGAGAGAATCATATTTCTCATTATATATACAACATATGCCATTAGGCTGCCTGAAGATTCTTGTGACATCTTAAGTTTATAAACCCCACTCGATACTTGATATTACAAATAGAATTATCGCAAAGTAAAATATATGAAACAATCACAAATAAATATCAATAAAATATATACATCTGTAATCCTAAATTACCAATTACTGTGAACAAAGAATTAGAATATCAGTTTCAAATAATTTTGGGAATATTTAGTCAGAAAAAGGATGATCAGATTCATTTGAATATTTGGAGTAAATACCAACAATATTTAAGGCAAAATAACACAATATATACATAAAGTTGTTCTTGAAACCTAAGTACAGTAATAATTCCACATTTACAAAATTACAAACACACAAAGAAAATCAGTAAGTCACATTTATCTGCAGAGGTACAGAAACATGATACAAAGACAAGTGACTAGTTCAACATGGTATGACGATCATAGATGTTACGTCTCTGCTCCCTCACTTGCCGCTTCCATTTATCCTGTTGATGACCTACACGATTCAACACATTTGCTCTAACACCCATGGGATGAGAACTTGTACCAGCAGATGCTCCTGTACTGGAAGATCCACCCGCTTCTTCCTGCAATGATAAAATAAAAAATTTAAAAAATAAAAATTCAGACATTTTAATTAAAATTTAAAGAAATATAAATTAAGAACTTGTCCAGTTATACCAATTCCTTTTTGAATCATATATTCAAAATTCATGAAATATTTTTTTGTCCAGACTATTTTGCTCAAGTGATAATTCCCCAAAGAGAGATGTATTGACTAACGTAAAACAAATCTCAGCTGTTTAAACTTCATTGATTTTTAATTCTCTTATACATCCTTGTAAACCACACAGTTATTCTCTCACCCTTTCAATTTGGTTTATCTTTGATACTTGCCCAAAAAATTGTACTTTATTCCGCAGAAGCAGAAATAAGGATGAACCAAAGGTATCAAAGCAGAGCACAAAGAAATTGCACAATAGTGCAAGAAACATGCCTTTTGGGAATGTGGGTACCTCACAGAGAGATGACTGTATCTTGTAACTAGTGTACTTGATGTATGAAAACACTCAGAATAGAGAACAAATAGTGAACATTTATTTCCATTATAGATAATCTGGAAAATATCAAAAATGAATTTTGCAAAATTATTTAAAATAGTTCTCAGAATCATGACATGATAATTACAAAAACGTAGAAAGGTCTTGGTTTTCTCACATGCCTCAATAAAAATTCAGAAGATGGTTTCTTAGATTGAATTACAAAAAAATCATGTAAATATTTCAATGTTAAGGTTTTCTCTTTTGGTGTTGTACTAGAAGGAACACTCATTTCTTTTAAAAGAACTTGTAAACAATACGCTCCTTTCCACATGAGGATGATCTGACAGTTCATTTGGACATATATGAATAGAGAGCAAGGATACAAAGAGTTTATTTCTAAAAAAATCAAAGGAACTTTGCTGGTAGCAGACCTGAAGTAAGAATAAATAAGTAAACAAAGAACCGTTTAGGAAGGATACACAGTCACTCGAACTCTGTGTTATTATATAATAATGATAATCTTTTATTAAATGAATGAATGTTAGGGTGTTTGGAAAAGACAAGTGAATATAAGAAATGGGAGATTACACAAATGTTTAGGCAATAAAATATTAGGAATTTGTTAAAGGGAAAGGGAATTAAATTTATTATTTGAAGTTAAATTAGAAAGTATTACAATGAAGAAATTGTGGAAACCAAAAGACAAGAGAAATTTGGAATATATAGACGAGTTTGACAGAAGAGAAGAGCTGTTCAAAAACTGCCCAGTGAGGAGGAAGGTGTACAACAATGGATATAGACAGACGGGTTGGCAATCTGGTAGTGCTGACATTGTAGCAGAAGTAAAAATTGGAGGTTTTCATGTAAAAGTTGGTTGGACAGTGGTAGGATGTTGTAGAGTGGTGTTCCATAGTAAGGAATATAGACCACGTGCGTTTCGATTTGGAGTTTGAAAAGAAAAGGATGCTACCCACAAAGAGTCGCAAATAATCACAGCAGCAGAGACGGCGCAATTCATGGCATCCAAGAAATATGGTAAAGACGCAATTTTGCAACAATCTTATAACAAGACCAAGATTGTAATCTACAAAGTAATTATTAGTAATGGCCATTAGAGTTAATTATTTTTATTTTCAAAAGGAGTGCACTTGTTTGAATGAATGCAGTTTATATATGTATGAATGAGTGTTATTGAATTTGTTTTCTTCAAGATACAATGTATTTAAAGGGAAAATTTTGTAAGTCATGTTATGTTTAGGTACAATAGAAAGCAGGTGTTTATAAATAATTGCTGCTCATATTGATGGTATTGTTAAAATTTGTGTGTATATATTAGCAGGTAATGTAAACCCAATGATAAGAGAAAGAGCATAGAGAGCCAGGTTCCCAAATCAATATAATATTTCAGTTTCCTGTACAGGTGCAACTTTGCGAATTCACGCAAAATTTACAAATTTGTACTGTAGGAACATAAACTTGGAGTAACGTAATAAATTGTTATTAGTTTACAGATTTTACAGACTCGCTGAAATGTGGGATGAAACAGGGAAGGGTTACTAATTAGAAATTTTATATCAGAAGTTAATGATCCACTAGATGGCATGGATATGTGGCATGTTCAAATAGCTAACCGAGACCAAAGGAAATAGAAAACTAGCACAAGAGTGTCTGTGCTATTCTGTGGCACCACTAGTTTTAAATTACTGCAATTATGGCATTCCTTTAATTTACATTTTAGACTTCATGGCATGACATTTCTATTAAATATTTTAACAATTTCTGAATTATATGATGGAAACAATTTTTATAATTTGATCCATTTTTATATTTCGTTATATGATCGTCCTATATGATCCTTTATAACCAAGATAAATGATATGTACCTTAAATCAAGTTTGTAAATATTCTTGAAATTAATGTAACTAACATAAATTTACAAGTTTTTTCTAGTGGGCAGGGAGGTTAGTGGAATGGCACCTGGATTTTTCCAAAAGCAAATGCTTTGGAGAAATGTTACAATCAAATTCTATTTATTTCTGGATACTGTCATTAAATTTCAATTGTTTCAATTGGGAAAGATGGCTGGCACGCATTCAATAATGCTTAGCACACACTCCGCAGCATTGAATATTTTATTTTCATATACATTTTGAATAAATTTAATTTTCCCTTTTTTCAACTGACAATTTGGGGCATTGGAATAAGATATTTGGAGAAGAGGCTCTACAAGCCATGTAGCACCCATTATAAGATTTGTTGTAAAATTTTGTAAGGGCCAATAGATGACCTGACACCTTGCCCCTGGACATAGTAGTCCTGAAAATCATTTTTGATAATACAAGCACTGCATTAGATCAAGAATGTTTTGAACAAATAAGGAGACTATCCATTAACATTATTAAATTAATTATTCTCACCTTTCTAAGAAACACATTCACTAACCAACTAATTTGTGAAATATTTGAAAACTGTCAATAGTAGAAAAAATAGTGTTATTCGTACAATTGGAATTGAATTACCTTGAAATACACCTTCGGTACTGTAATACAAACTCATCACTTTTCATCTTCAGTGTACCTATGCATTTCCTTTGAACAATTAGCACATTATTTATTCCACAATATTAGTAGCAATTTCATAAGAAAATGCTTACCTCTTCATTAGTATGTTCCTGATAATTTCCTTTCATTCGTTTATTTAAGAGCGGATCCAAGCAAATAAGGAACAGCATATAGATGACCAATAATGAAATGATCCATATAACAATGATGACAACATACTGAAGCAAGAAATTAAAATGAAAATTACTTTCCTAGGTTAATCAGACAATTTCTTGAACTTTAAAAGGAAAAGTCTTACAAGGAACTATGATCTAGCATTCCAACTTACTTATAAAAACGAAAAACAATTTAATTTAAAATTAAGCATGTTAATTTAGAACTGAAATATATTACATAATCAAAAGAAAATTATTATTTAACAATACAATTATGTTTGGGCTTTCATTAATTTACTACTGCCAGCATATTATTTATTTACATAAAAAGGGTATGTATTTTTATAACAAAGTGTGAACTATTACATCAAAACTTACCTTAATGATAGATGTATTTCTACTTTCATATTTACATTCACATCTGGGGCAAAATTCTTGTTCTTTTCCTTTGATTTCATCACCAACTTGCGGTAAAATCACATTATCACATGTACTACAACAATAGTAAAGTATATCAAAATAAAAACAAAATTTCATACGACAAAAATAGGTTATCGTTTGAGAGTATGTATTAATTTATTCACAAGCATTAAAAATTGCAATCTTTTTGTATCATGAATATCAGTTTTAGAAATAACTGTTTTATTTATAACTACAAACAACCATTAAGTGTTCAAAAGAAATTCCATTAAATAATCGATTTTGTTTAAAACTTGGAAAATGCAAAATAATTGTTCGCAGAGCCTGAGATATTATAATTTTATAAATCACTTACCATTTGTTAGGAGGTACATTGTCTATATAAAGCTTTCTATTAGACTGAGTTACATTGACAACCGATGGATTAGGACAGACACATTTACACCGCACATCCTCATATGATTGGGCCTGAAAAAGAATGTCTTTCCTTGAATTGTATGTCATGTATACTAACAGATGAAAGAACGATTACATATAGAGGGTAAAAACAACAGTACTTAACTCTTTCTTTAACCGACCATTTTTAAACTTACCTGAACTTCGCACACGAAAACCAGAACTAGAATGTAAGCAAATTTCATGATGTCTAGAACTGCACGTCGTCGCGCTCCACAATAGTCATCACAAAACACACCTACTTAAGCTTAGGTTGTCAACAGAAGTAGAATTGATTTCGATAATTTAATGTCCCGGAAAACTCATTTACTGCTGAATCTCGTACGTACTTAGATCTTGGACGACGGCTGAAAATAATCTTCGATTATCTTAATCCTCTTTTCTACCTTTTGCATCTGTCACCTGATAAACAAGTCAAAGAATTATCTTCCCCGAAGGAAAAGTGAAAAGGAACTCCAGGGCAGGGCCGGTTCACTCAATGTTAAAAGGCGGGGGACTAAGTTTGTTTCCTCATTCACCCGGACCTGGAGTCCGACCGGTGGCAAGATAGGCAGCTGTTGCCGTTTTGGCGCGCATTTTCAAAAGTAAGTTGTGCGAATAATTGGTGGCGCGTGTAGAGATTGAGTCAAGAGTATTATCGCCTTTCTAATGATCAATTAACTTGATTAAATAATATTTTAAATACTGTAGTAGATGTTCTACTAAAACAAAATTGTAAAGTGATTACTTATCTTAAGTACTTTAAAAAGCAGAAAAAGGTGAAACATGATTTTTTAAGATTGAATCATGTCTTATTTTGTTTTGTTGTTTTTTCACATAGATATCTGTATACATTTGAGGGGTTGGTTGAAATACGCCCTAACCACAAAATCTTTAAATATGATACTTATAGTCCAACATCTCTGTGTTACGTTATTGGAATAGAGCTTGTAGCAACACTGTCAGCATGGGTCAGAAAAAAGACATTCTTTAATCCAGAAAAATCCTCTTACTGTTAAAAACAACTTATTTCACAAAAACTTACAACAATATTAGACAGTTTTTGAAATATTTAAATTCTATTTATAGGTGGTCCTGTTCATTCCACTTCATTGGTATCATAACCAAATATACCACAAGAAAAGATTAACATTGATATAACAATTGTAAGATTAAATTCGTTTTATAGTTTTTACAATATTAATTTTTTGTCTCCAGTGAGCTATAAAATTCCATTTAATTTAAGGCTTTCTTCTCTAAGATTTATACTTTGGTGGCTTAGCAAACGATTTAACGCTCCAAATCTAGAATTACAATATGCTTGAAGAAGTTTATTGTGTTCTACAAGCTCTCGTGTGTGTATTGTTGACCTAAGATTTACTATATCTACAGACAATGAAATGCTAGATAAAACTAATATATCATCAAGTCCATTAGTAAATATACTACTACAGGTTTTTGTTCATAGTTCAGATAAGCATGCTCATATGTATAATAGCATATAGTATTATTTGCTTCTGAAAATCTTCTGATGCGTCTGAGTCGTGCAATGTATGTGAAAAGTTTACAGAAGATAATGGATACTCGTGTATAAACTAGTTAGTTGATTTAAGTCTTCATCTCTATAAATTAATATTTGTAATATTTGAAAAAAGAACTTAATCAATTGATTTTTAAAAAGTTTAATATTTGTTTATACATATGATTGAAATCATACCCGCCTTAATGTTTGGTGATTTTATAGCCGAAAATAGAATGTATTTTTGATAATAGTCCAATATTGTTATTTTGGGTAAGTCTTTCAAAACCTAAGGACAATGAAACAAATTTATAAATATACTAGTTTTATGTTTTGGCAAGTTGATTCGTCTTGTTAGTTCACTAAATTAACATACCAGTAAATATGCTACCTGCTCTG